GCCAGTTCAGAGTTCAGAGTCCAGAGTCCAGAATGTGAGACTGGCTCACATCACATTCACATTCACATGGACGACGTGGCAATACTGGGCGATGGTTGCCTGCACGTGGTCCGATCGCATCGTCCGAATTGGGAAAGCCTCCCCTGCCGGGCTGGTCGTAGCGGGGCGGGAGGTGCCGGAAAAGTGGAACAATCTTTCTTTCTTTTTCGAGGGGAAAAGAAAGAAAATCTTTTTAAAGCGAAAATCTTGGTACGGAATGGTCATATAAAGATCGAGAGCAACCAGCCGTCGAGTGATCAGTGCAACAATTTCATCGTCGTTTGACACGGACGCTGCTCCTCAGACGTACGGCCCATACACTGTCGTATGGGCCCGGACCCACTTGTCAGTGGCCCCACGTTAGGGGGCCGTACGTCAGGGGATCCTGCTCCTTTTGACACGGCCGGTCTCTCTTGCGTGGTCCGCCCATCTCGCCAATCAAGCATAGCAGGAGGAGTACTTGATTAGGCGGGGAGCGTTCAACAGTTGGCCGGCAACGACGTACGGTGCCTGCCCTGCCGGTCGCCCGGGCACGCAATTGATTAATTATAGTGTCTGTAGTGTGTACTGTCCACGGGAAGAGAAGGGAAGGGATGACAGTGAAGTGATCGTACTACTTACTTCGTTTCTAAATATTTGTCTTTTAAAAAAAATTAAATATCCGAAGCAAAATATGTCTACATACATCTGTATATTGTAACCATTTGAAATGGCTAGAAAGACAATATTTAGAAACAAAGGAAGTATAATAAATAAAAAGGTTAAACAATGGAGCCGGTGGCCTTCGTTTCGGCTAGTTCCATTTGTCCGAACAACTTTTCTTTTTTAGACAAGTTGCCCAAACAACCAAATGAATTGACTGGTGCTAGTGGAGTGTATGTATTGTTAACCAAATGATCACACTTTCCACGGCTCCCGATGCCCCGAAGCTTCCAGACAATGTACTACGAAACTGAGATTTGCAAATCTTTGTTGGTGAGGCGTACACATGCACGGCCGGTGCAGCTGACCGATTAACTAATGCTCCTACCTAGTCTCCTAGTACTCTCCTACATGTAGTTAGATAGAACCACGCTCCAAATTTCGGTTTTCAAACCGCGCGCGCAGGTGCACTCTGGCTTAGATATTTCCCGCCTCATCGATCGAGAGATTAGGACAGATGCATACATAATTAGGACGGTGCTGACGTGCTGTGTCGTGTTTACGCTCCATACTTACGCGCCTGGCGATTGTCGTATACGTAATAACAAATCGACCACGACCCGGCACCTCCTGGCTACTCTACTCGCGCGCGTCCCAAGTTTGAACTGCATCCACACTCGCAACTCGTCTCTGTCTCCACTGTATACAACTCAACTGGTCAACTCAACGCTAGGAAAACCCTGATGCACAACATGGTCTTGGGCCTGTATTAGCTCACTCAGCCCCAACCAAGTCACACGTCCATGTCGAGTAAAGAGACCGGTGTCGGGATTTGGTGGACACGGATATGATTCCTGGCCGACGCGCCACATTGCCCCGGTCTCCTCATTAACGGCCGGCCAGTTCTTCGGCTCGAAAAGCGGCCATGTCTGCAAAGGTGCTCTACTAGATCTGGGCATGGTGGATACCCTCCTCTATGTCCCAGTGATGCTCCGGCGGTGACGGTGATCGATGGTGGGCGATGGTTAGCTTCATGTCACCGGTCTTTCTAGTAGTCCTGTATGGCTTTCACGTGTGTAGACGTTGTAATCCCATGTTTAATGCAATGTGTGGTTGTTGTTCAAAAGAAAAAAAAGAGACACATATATATGCAAAGAGGCAAAAAACTATGCAGGTAACCAAACACGTCGGAGGTGTATGTATATTCACAAGCAGCGGTTATTTGTACATACGCGTGCACGTGGTTCGATCGCGGTTATTTGTACATATGCCTCCACGCCGGGCTGGTCGTCGCGGAAGGTGCCGGGAAACCGGAACAATCCTGATACGGAATGATCACATATATATACAGATCCCGAGCAAATGTTGAATTGCCAACCATCAAGTGACCAGTGCTGATACATGATACATGATAGAACACCAAAATACACTTTGGAACGAAAGAAAAAGTAGAAGTACTACAATGTAACGCTTTTAAGGAAAAACAATAATCGGAAGGTAGTGAATACTAAAGCAACCATGATGGATGGATCCATGCATGAAATATCTCACGTATGGTAGAATTGTTTTTCTCTTCGCGCGAGGAGGGGAGACCTTGTATAGGTAGGACGAAACTGAAATTTGAGAATCGAAACTACTACACGTACGACTATGACTTGTTCGACTTGGTACGATGCAACATCCAGCCGTCGCTGGAGTTTGAATCCAACTACGGTTGGATCTGGTCCGTCGGACAGAATTCGTACGTGAAATGTCGTACGTATAGCACGGTTTGATCTTCCTAGATATACACACACGGCCGGTGCAGCTGACCGATTTAACTAATACGTACTCCACGCTCCAAATTTTGGTTTTCGAAACCGCCCGCGCAGGAGTAGAAATTTCCCGCCCCATCGATCGAGATTAGGACAAGTGCATACATAATTCGGACGGTGCTGACGAACGCTACCAAACGACGCGCGTCGGAATTTGTATTACTAACAAATTGGAAGTCGGCTGCGGTCGACCACGACCCGGCACCTAAGGCCGGTCACAGTGGGAAGGAACTTAGGAGTAACATCACACACTTTAATACAACTTTGCTTATGTGGCACGTATTTAATGAAGAGAGAGGTGCTTGTGGTAACTAGCTAAGTTACCGGAACATCACACACTCCAAAAAACAATGAGTCTATAACCTAATAAATACATCGTTGCATGACACTATATGAATATTCCCACCCACTATGAAGGTAGTAACATAGTCTAGGAAAGTGTGAAGTTACTAGCTTATGTTCTTGCCCATTGTGACCAGCCTAATACTCCTGGCTACTCTACTCGCGCGTCCCAAGTTTGAGCTTTCACACTCGCATGCAGGTCGTCTCTGTCTCCGCTGTATACAACTCAACTGGTCTTCCTAATCCGTAGTATATTTTCTGTACCACTCCTTCCACATAAAAAAAACTCCACGTACGTAACGTAACGTGCTCATGTGATCACTGGACACGCCCCGCTGATATTAAGCAAGAGCCGGTGCCCGGTCGCGCGCGGCCGTGAGACTACTCAACCGTTGCACCGTCAACAAGTGGACTTTGAGTCCCTAGTTTCAGTCTCTGCGCTGCGTTATCACTCGAAAACATACACAGCAAAAGAGTCTCTGAAACGAAGATTCATTTCGATGCCCAGACTCATCTACACCTAATGAACAGTAAATTAAAAAAAACAGAAAAATTCAAAAAAATCCGAAAACTCTGAACTGCCTACACAACTGTATACAGGGTAGCATGCATGCTAGCGTAATCCAATCCAATCTACTAATGGCTTGAGAAATCCTACTCCTACCCGTACGTGTTAAGCAAGGTTTTCTGGTCGCAACCGGACGAACGGGACGGCGTGATATCACTATCCGACTGTCTATTTGGAGCACGGAAACATTCGCACAAGATTCACATGAAGGAGCTGTCATCTTGTGGAGGATCAACTTCACACCTGGACCAGGAACCCGACGCATATTTAATCACCACCCAACTTTCCCCCCGGTGAAATCTCCTCCCCAATTGCACAAAATGCGAAAAAGACGAGGACGGAGATAGTACTATACATGTTTGAGTTGTTGTCTGACCTTAAGATTAATTTCTGAAAAGTGAAATTCTTCGTGCAGGAGGGGATGATGAGATCCTTATAACATATGCTGGTAATTGTACAAGATCTTCTAGAGGCGGTTAATTTTCGCCATCGAGAATGACTCCCGATAAAGCAAAAATATTCCCCGCAAAACAAAAAGATAAAGCAAAAATATCATATTTACTCGTGATGCTATTGCTGACCTTGACTGGCTTACTCGTGAATCAATTTGTCTGCTCCATACCAAAGGCACATATTCATATCACAAAGAATCCGATTTCACGAATGATGGAGCCTCTCTGTGTGATGTAGCTAGTTCCTAGTGAAGAAATATTTTGTTGGGTCTGTGTATGTGTGCACTAATAGTTGGTGAATCCCTAAGAAGAACCAAACCTTCATTTATATATTGTCATATGCTATCTTAATTGAAAAGTGTTACCTATGTTAACAACTATTCCAATTCCATTTTTGAAAATGTGATTGATCACAAATTGCGCACGTTAAGTATATATCTGTAAAGAGAAATCCTTATTATTTTTTGATTAAAAGAGTTTGTGTTGGTAGCCTAAGTAGTTCCTCACACCAAAGTTACTAACAGTCCAATTATTTTCAAAGCACTCATGGTTTCAAGCGGGACTCTGCCCTTTGGCTCAACCGGTCATCTAGTACTCCCTCCGTCCCGAATTACCTGTCACAGAAATGGATGTACGTAGAACTAAAATACATCTAAATACATCTACTTCTACGACAAGTAATTCCGGACGGAAAGAGTATAATACAAAGCAGCGAGATAACCAAAATGATGGAGACATAGATGTATCCCCAAGTTCACGTTCTCAAGGGAATGCTAATATCCGTCGAAGAGGTAGAGCAACCGAATGCCCTCAACGACAACTGACGTCTCACCCTTCTTGTCCGAGAGCGTCGCCCAACCCACGCCAGTGCTTCCTTCCGTACCGGTAGTTCTTATGGCAAACTCCAAACCCTCGCAAATTTCTTGGGGCTAAATAATATACACCTTGGATGCTCCCAAACGCATGATTTCCAACCATCTACGAGTCCACACAACTCCCAGAGTGATCAGCAGGACGGCGGCGACGCTCCGTGAAGCGGCCGGCGAGGACCGATGGATACCAATGTGGCAGTGTCCTCTGCCGTCGGGGCCGAGGCCTTCCTTCCTTCTTCTTCTAGGAGTAAAAAGAAGAGTTGATCATCGTTCACTTCCTTGCCGTCATGCTCGAGCCGTGGTGCTGCCTGCCTTTGGACCTGCTCCTGGACGACGACGACGACGACGACCCGGGGCTCTGGCTCAGGCGCCGCGGCGCCCCCCTCCTGCGCCCTCCCGTGCCGAGCGCCGCGCGCGCGACGCTGTCAGTGGCCGCCTCCCGCGGCTTGAGGGGCTGCTTGTTGAGGTAGGCCAGCTGCGGGAGGAGGTCGGTGACGGCCTTGCGCAGCGCGTCGTCGCCGACGTTGGCCTGCACGGGGTTGCCCACCAGGTTGAGCGCCAGGAGGGAGTGGTAGTTGGCCACCAGCTGGCCCAGCGCCTTGGCCGTGGTGAGCCTGTTGAAGCCCAGGTCCAGCGCCGCCAGCCTCAGCAGCCGGTGCAGCCCCTCCACGTCGCCGATCTTGTTCCCCGCCAGGTACAGCTCCCTCATCGCCGTGCAGTTCGACAGCCCTGATCCATCACCCACATCCATAAGCAGGATTGTACACAAAATGTTGCTTCGCAGAAGCAGGATTTACTGAAGAAGCGCAGTGCAATGCAAGAACCCCAGGTCTGGGAATTACCGTGGCCGATGCGCGAGATCCGGTTGTAGCTGAGGTTCAGCACGCGCAGCTTAGTCAGCTCCCGGAGCCCCTCGACGTTGGCGATCTTGTTCCGCGACAGATCCAGCGTGTGCAGGCCCTTCGGCAGCGATCCGGGGGAGATATGAACTGCATGACGAACAGAACAGCACAAATTCAGCAGCAGCATGTCTGAAAGTGCTACTGTCTGGTACAGTAGCAACTGACATTGCTGGATTGTATTTGCCGGACGGCGGTGCTGTGCTTACCGATGAAGTTGCCGGAGAGGTTGACGGCGCGGAGGTTGGAGAAGGGCGCGATCATGGGCACGACCTTGAGGCCCATCCCGGAGATGTGCGCCACGGAGGAGAAGCCGTTGAGGGACTGGACGATGCTGTTGGCCTGGGCCACGTCGTCCGCCGCCGCGCACGGCTTGGCCAGCTTGCCGTGGCCCCCCTTACCCGACGTCTCCCCGGCCTCCATGGGACGCGGACGCGCCACGCGGTCGTCGGTGAGGTCCATGCTCTGGTCGCCACCGTCGTCCTCCTCCTCGGCGATGCGGAGGCACCCGCTGTTGTCGATGCTGCTCACCCAGTCGCTGACGCGGTCGCTCAGGGAGTGGTCGGCGCAGAAGGCGACCCACTGGTTCTGCGATGGCGGCTGCGCCGGCGACTCGTCCACCATCGCCTTCTTCTTCTTGCGGTCGGCCGGCTCCTCGAGCGTGTCCGACGTGTACCCGCCGCGGGGAGTGCCAGCGTCGCTTGGGCGCGCCGACCAGGGCCGGTGCAAGTTGCGGTGGCTCCAGAGGAAGAGCCGCCACCACAGCTTCCGGCTCCGCGACGGCAACACCTGGCTAGACGACCGCCGCTTGAGCATAACGCCGTCGGCGGTGCGCGACGTCTTCACCGACGCATTGGGGCTCGCCTCGTGCGCGCGCCGCGGGGTGGTGACCACGAGGAGGTCGCCCGGCAGGTCGCCGTAGGAGCGCGACCGCACCCGCGTGCCCGGGGAGTCCCTCGGGCCAGGCCGCTTCGTCTCCATGTTGGAGCACGAGCGCTTGAGCTTCGCCGACGGGTCCACCTCCACCTCCGCTGCCGCAGCCTCCTCCACCACCGCCGTCGCGGCCTCCTCCCCGGCGCTCGCGGCCACCGGACGCGCGTCCGGCACGGTGCCAGTGGCATGCTTCTCCGGTCCCTGGACGTCGAAGCCGACGGACTTGTGCTGCGGGTGGAACTCGAAATCAATGTCGTCAGACAGACTGTCCGATCTTGCTGGCGACACCTCACTGGCGCCCTTGTGCGCCACCACGATGACCACATCGGCGACGATCTTGTCGCCGCATTTCTCCACCATGGCAGCGGCAACCGCCGGCGGCGCGTCAGTACACTCCACCGCCACCGGCTTCACCGTGGCGCGATCGCTCTCAGTTCCACCACCCTTGTCGGCATCACCAACCTGCTGAACAGAGTAGAGACACAATATCAAAACATGCAACCAAGCTTCACCGATCGAAAGTTCCAAACTCACAGGTAGACAGAACCATTCAAACACGTACCACTCGTTTCTGCCTCCGGCCGGTGAGCAGGATGGAGAAGCAGCTCATCTTGGCCATGGCCGCTGAATCCCGATCAGCTCCCAAAACAGAGCGTGTTTGCGATCATGTGCTTAGCCGTTGTCTATGGGAGAGGCTCTCCGCGGCAGCAGCGACGGCGCGGAGATGGCGTGCTCCTGTGCCCCCAGGCCCCATTATTCAGCGCGCGACGGAGCGGGGGCGCCACGAGGAAGGCCAGAGTGACCTGGGACGCCGGGAAGAGCCGGAGGAGTCGTCTTGGCAGCTAGCAGCAGCACTGCATCATCAATCAATAAATCAATCAGCAGTTTTGGAAGAGTGTGACTGATTGATTGGAGTCAAACCGCTGCAGCAGCAGGACAAAAGAAATTGATTCACGCAACAGCAGAAACAAACAGAGGAAACAAACAAACAAACAAACAAACTACTCCCTTCGTAAACTAATATAAGAGCATTTAGAATACTAGAATAGTGATCTAAAGGCTCTTATATTAGTTTACAGAGGGAGTACAAAATAGACGCTCATGCGCTGTACGGATCCGTTGTGCCAGCTCTCCGAATTTCTCTGGGGCCGTTCGTTCCCGTTCGAGAAGGAGAAAATGACAAGGGGGGAATTGCAGCACGATTGGGGCAGTGAATTGGGTGAGAAACTGATCTTGGTTTCCCGTCCAGGCACTGTGTAACCACTTCTGTTTGAAAAGGAAGTTGGTGAATAACCGCCAGTTCAGAATCACAGCAAGAGACTGACGCATGAAGAAAGAACTACTCTACAAACAGTCTCAAAAACTAATGGATGATTGAGAATTCAGAGGAGTCGCCCACACCCGCGGTTTCCTTGAGGCAGAAACCTCCCCGGCCCAAGACTAGTGCTATGAAGCTTAATTAAGGCGAAAGATTTCAGTATATATATATAGTTATAAAGGAAAGACGTATAGACGGTGCACGGTGCCGGTGCTGCGATGCGGCACTCGTGACACCGCATAGACGCGCCGGTGTCCGATGCAGCACCGTTCAACCGCGTTGCCGGGGCTGCGATGCAATGCTCGCGAGAATTGCCGAGAGGCACTGGTGCTCCGATGCAGCGCTGTCGACGGCTGCTGGAGCAGCGATGCAGCAGTTGCTGGGATGCTTGGTTCCTCGGCGCTGCCAAAGCTACAATGCAGCGTTGTTTGTGCGTCGATGCAGTGCTCGTCAGTGGACGTGGCGGGGCGCCAGCTGTTGCAAGGGGAGACGCGGCGACCGGTGCGCCCCCGCCGCGGAGCAGCGGCTACAACCGAGAGGTGAGCGAGTGGCGGCGGAATCCAGCGGCCCAGGACCCTACTGATTTCCTGTGGATTCTAACTAATCACTCCCTGAATTCGTACTAGCACTCCACGTACCCATGTAGATCCATTCCGTAAGGATTTCCCTGTAGGCATATACGTCTCCCTCACGCACACACAACAAAAGGTTGGGCCTATACATCACAGAAAAATACATCATTTAATTTGTATTTTGAAGCAAGTTTTTGTTGATATACTCTCTAGACGTGGTTTCAGTTCAACCAGTTATTTCCAAAGGGAGGTAATAATTCATATGGCTTTTGAAACGCAAATGCACCATCACTGTAGTTTATTGTTGTGGATCATTGTTTCTTTTTTTAAATAATTTGATTGTGTGCATCCTCCATGTCTTAACTGACTCTTGATATCATATTCTTGTATAGACCAAGTATAATTAGTATCATCTCGACTTTTTATAAATACTATAACGCCTTATATTTTGATACTGAGAGAGTATAAATAAAAGAATTTGTCTGATACACAATAGAGGGTGACTTATGAAAAAACAGACCTCTGAAGTACTACCTATGTAACTAAGTATAAGACATTTTTGCAGTTTAATTTAAACTTGAATATATACACTTGAATAAGTGTGTACTTTGTTTGCAACACTGAAAAGAGATACACCAACCAGACTACGTGAATTGTAAAGTGCCACTACAATCGCCACATACATGCACTACAATTTGCTCTTGTCCATTTTCTGGTCCAGTTCCACTCAAAAACACAAAATGAAGTTTTTTTTAACGTAAAAACACAAAAATAAGTTAATTCAGTGAGAAAACATTTGCCAACCAATTAGTTGAGGGCAGATAGGCTTTCTGGAGGCCCCACTATGCTTAATTTATATCATCTGTAAGACATCCTTGATGTATCAAATTTCTGGAGTACATGTCAAGACTGAAACTCTTATCAGCGTCAGATTTTGCCTTGGGCACTTTGCTGAACTGAAGACGTTCTTTCGATGAGAAATGAAACCAAGGCAACGACTGATTTGGATCCCCAGCATTTTGAACAAATATTTGGTCCATGTGAACAATGTTTTGTTTTTAGAAAGAAGAGGTTGAAACCCTCAGCCTCAACATGCGTGAATAGATGGTAACCCGTGAGAGCTGCAACAACTAATTTGAAACAGAGGGAGTAACTATTTTCAACAAAGTGGATTTTATTAATTCAAAATAAAAGCATCACATGGATAGAAATGTTGGGGAACGTAGCAAAAATCTAAAAAAATTCTACGCATCACCAAGATCAATCTATGGAGTCATCTAGCAACGAGGGGAAGAGGAGTGCATCTACATACCCTTGTAGATCGCGAGCAGAAGCGTTCAAGAGAACAGGGTTGATGGAGTCGTACTCGTCATGATCCAAATCACCGATGACCGAGCACCGAACGGACGGCACCTCCGCGTTCAACACACGTACGGTTGGGAGAGAAGTCTCCTCCTTCTTGATCCAGCAAGGGGAGAGGAGAGGTTGATGGAGATCCAGCAGCACGACGGCGTGGTGGTGGAAGCAGCGGGATCTCGGCAGGGCTTCGCCAAGCACCAACGAGAGGGAGAGGTGTCACGGAGGGAGAGGGAGGCGCCAGGGACTTGGGTGCGGCTGCCCTCCCTCCCCTTCACTACATATAGGGGCCAGGGGGCGCCGGCCCCTCTAGATCCCATCTAGATGGGGGTGTGGGGGGCGGCCAAGGGGGTGGCTTGGCCCCCAAGCCAAGTGGAGGCGCCCCCACCCCTAGGGTTTCTAACCCTAGGCGCAGGGGGGAGGCCCAAGGGAGGCGCACCAGCCCATTAGGGGCTGGTTCCCTTCCCACTTCAGCCCATGGGGCCCTCCGGGATAGGTGGCCCCACCCAGTGGACCCCCGGGACCCTTTCGGTGGTCCCGGTACAATACCGGTGACCCCCGAAACTTTCCCGGCGGCCGAAACTGGTATTTCTATATATAAATCTTTACCTCCGGGCCATTCCGGAATTCCTCGTGACGTCCGGGATCTCATCCGGGACTCCGAACAACTTTCGGGTTACCGCATACTAATGTCTCTACAACCCTAGCGTCACCGAACCTTAAGTGTGTAGACCCTACGGGTTCGGGAACCATGCAGACATGACCGAGACAACTCTCCGACCAATAACCAACAGCGGGATCTGGATACCCATGTTGGCTCCCACATATTCCACGATGATCTCATCGGATGAACCACGATGTCGAGGATTCAATCAATCCCGTATTCAAGTCCCTTTGTCAATCGGTACGTTACTTGCCCGAGATTCGATCGTCGGTATCCCAATACCTTGTTCAATCTCGTTACTGGCAAGTCACTTTACTCGTTCCGTAACACATCATCCCGTGACCAACTACTTAGTCACACTGAGCTCATTATGATGATGCATTACTGAGTGGGCCCAGAGATACCTCTCCGTCATACGGAGTGACAAATCACAGTCTCGATTCATGCCAACCCAACAGACACTTTCGAAGATACCTGTAGTGTACCTTTATAGCCACCCAGTTATGTTGTGATGTTTGGCACACCCAAAGCACTCCTACGGTATCCGGGAGTTGCACAATCTCATGGTCTAAGGAAATGATACTTGACACTTAGAAAAGCTCTAACAAACGAACTACACGATCTGGTGCTATGCTTAGGATTGGGTCTTGTCCATCACATCATTCTCCTAATGATGTGATCCCGTTCTCAATGACATCCAATGTCCATGGTCAGGAAACCGTAACCATCTATTGATCAACGAGCTAGTCATCTAGAGGCTTACTAGGGACATGTTGTGGTCTATATATTCACACATGTATTATGATTTCCGGATAACACAATTATAGCATGAACAATAGACAATTATCATGAACAAGGAAATATAATAATAACCATTTTATTATTGCCTCTAGGGCATATTTCCAACAGTCTCCCACTTGCACTAGAGTCAATAATCTAGTTACATTGTGATGAAACGAACACCCATAGAGTTCTGGCATTGATCATGTTTTACTAGAGGGAGAGGTTTAGTCAACGGATCTGCGACATTCAGGTCCGTATGCACTTTACAAATATATATGTCTCCATTTTGAACATTTTCACGAATGGAGTTGAAGCGACGCTTGATATGTCTGGTCTTCCTGTGAAACCTGGGCTCCTTGGCAAGGGTAATAGCTCCAGTGTTGTCACAGAAGAGAGTCATCGGGCCCGACGCATTGGGAATAACTCCTAGGTCGGTAATGAACCCCTTCACCCAGATTGCTTCTTGTGCTGCCTCCGAGGCTCCCATGTACTCCGCTTCACATGTAGATCCTGCCACGACGCTTTTCTTGCAACTGCACCAGCTGACTGCCCCACCATTCAAAATATACACGTATCCGGTTTGTGACTTGGAGTTATCCAGATCCGTGTCGAAGCTAGCATCGACGTAACCCTTTACGACGAGCTCTTCATCACCTCCATAAACGAGAAACATGTCCTTAGTCCTTTTCAGGTACTTCAGGATATTCTTGACCGCTGTCCAGTGTTCCATGCTGGGATTACTTTGGTACCTTCCTACCAAACTTACGGCAAGGTTTACATCAGGTCTGGTACACAGCATGGCATACGTGATAGACCCTATGGCCGAGGCATAGGGGACGACACTCATCTTTTCTCTATCTTCTGCCGTGGCCGGGCATTGAGCCGTGCTCAATCTCGTACCTTGCAACACAGGCAAGAACTCCTTC